AAACTAATTAGAATTAGAAAGTTGTAAAGTTGATTAACAAGTTAAATTGGTGAATATAGGGTTGGAATTAAGTTAAATCTAAACTAATTAGACTTAAAAAATTATTAAGTTGTCTAATAAGTTAAATTGATGAATAAAGTGTTGGAATTAATTTAAAACTAAACTAATTAGACTTAGAAAGTTGTTAAGTTGTCTAATAAGTTAAATTGATGAATAAAGTATTGGAATTAAGTTAAAACTATACTAATTAGACTTAGAAAGTTGTTAAGTTCTTCAAATAAGCTAATGTGATTTAGTTGGTTAATATAGGGTTAAAATTAAGTTAAAACTAAACTAATTAGACTTATAAAGTTGTTAAGTGTCTAATAAGTTAAATTGATGAATAAAGTGTTGAAATTAAGTTAAAACTAAGCTAATTAGACTTAGAAAGTTGTTAAGTTCTTCAAAAAAGCTAATGTGATTTAATTGGTTAATAGTGTTAGAATTAAGTTAAAACTAAACTAATTAGACTTAAAAAGTTGTTAAGTTATATTATAAGTTAAATTGGTGAATATATTATTGGAATTAAGTTAAAACTAAACTAATTAGACGCAAAAAGTTGTTAAATAAGTTAAATTGGTGAATATAGTTTTGGAATAAAGCTAAACTAAACTAATTAAACTTAAAAAGTTGTTAAGTTGGTTAATAAGTTAAATTGGTAAATATATTATTGAAATTAAGTTAAAACTAAATCAATTAGACTTAGAAAGTTGTTAAGTTGCTTAATAAGCTAAATTGGTGAATAAAGTGTTGACATCAAGTTAAAACTAAACTAATTAGACCTATAAAGTTGGTTAAGTTCTTCAAATAAACTAATGTGATTTAGTTGGTTAATATGGTTTTGGAATTAAGTTAAAACTAAACTAATTACACTTAGAAAGTTGTTAAGTTCTTCAAGTAAGCTAATGTGATTTAGTTGGTTAATATAGTGTTGAAATTAAGTTAAAACTAAACTAATTGGACCTAGAAAGTTGTTAAGTTGGTTTATAAGTTAAATTGGTAAATGTAGTATTGAAATTAAGTTAAAATAAACTAATTAGACTTAGAAAGTTGTTAAGTTGGTTGATAAGTTAAATTGGTGAACATAAAATTGAAATAAAGTTACAACTAAACTAATTATACTCCGAAAGTTGTTATGTTTAACAAGTTAAATTGGTGAATATAGTGTTGAATTAAGTTAAAACTAAACTAATTAGACTTAGAAAGTTGTTAAGTTGATTAATAAGTTTAATTGGTGAATATGTTATTGGAATTAAGTCAAAACTAAACTAATTAGACTTTGAAAGTTGTTAAGTTATTTAACAAGTTAAATTAGTGAATATATTGTTGGAATTAAGTTAAAACTAAACTAATTAGACTTTGAAAGTTGTTAAGTTATTTAACAAGTTAAATTAGTGAATATATTGTTGAAATTAAGTTAAAACTAAACTAATTAGACTCAGAAAGTTGTTAGGTTGTTTAATAAGATAAATTGGTGTATATATTATTGGAATTAAGTTAAAACTAAACTTATTAAACTTAGAAAGTTGTTCAGTTGTTTAATAAGTTAAATTGGTGAATATAGGGTTGGAATTAAGTTAAAACTAAACTAATTAGACTTAGAAAGTTGTTAAATTAGTTAATAAGCTAAATTGGTGAATATATAATTGGAATTAAGTTAAAACTAAACTAATTAGACTTAGAAAGTTGTAAAGTTGTTTAATAAGTTAAATTGGTCGATAAAGTTTTGTAATTAAGTTAAAATCAAACTAATTAGACTTACAAAGTTGTTAAGTTCTCTAACTAAGCTAATGTGATTTAATTGGTTAATATAGTGTTGGTATTAAGTTAAAACTGAACTAATTAGACTTAGAAAGTTGTTAAGTTCTTCAATAATTTAATGTGATTTCGTTGGTTAATATAGTGTTGAAATTAATTTAAAGCTAAACTAGTTAGACCTAGAAAGTTGTTAAGTTCTTCAAATATGTTAATGTGATTTAGTTGGTTAGTATAGTGTTGAAATTAAGTTAAAACTCAATAAATTAGATTTAGAAAGTTGTTAAGTTCTTCAAATAAGCTAATGTGATTTAATTGGTTAATATAGTGTTGAAAATAAGTTAAAACTAACTAATCAGAATTAGAAAGTTTTTAAGTTCTTTAAACAAGTAAATGTGATTTAGTTGGCTAATTTAGTGTTGGAATTAGAAAGTTGTTGAAATCTTCAAATAAGTTAATGTGATATAGTTGGTTAATATAACGTTTGAATTAAGTTAAAGGAAGCACAGAACAAGATGTATGCAGCGATTCAAGCCCAACTAACTTTTCTTTTTTGAATTAGGAAATATTCTTTTCCGCCATGTCCGGCAAGCAGTGATGATATGGAGCTGATCAGGAAGGTGATGAGAATGATATGGGTGATAAGGAGAGTGAGGGTGATAAAGAGTAGTTGTATTGGTTTGAATTTTAGACTTCTATATTTTTGGAATTGTTTGATTGTATTTGAGTTTATTTTGAAGTTGGAAGAAGTTTATTTTGAAATAGTTTAGGGTATATGTTTAAAACATTGAATTATTTTGGTTGGATAAAGTGTATTTTAAAGTAGCTCATTGGGAATTCTTTGGGTTGGATGAAGATTATTTTGAAATAGCTTATTTGGAATTCTTTGGATTTTTTGATATAAATATACAGGTAGGATACTAAAACTGCAGCTCAAAAATGCTGCCAGTTTTGTAACAGAAATACAGACCTCCAGAGGTTGGAATCTCAAAAAAAAGAAATAAAAATACCGATCTCCAGAGGTCGGAATTTCAAAAACAAGAAATAAAAAATCAACCTCCGGAGGTTGGAATCTCAAAAATAAGAAATAAAAATATCGACCTCCAGTGGTCGAAATCTCAAAAAATACCGACCTCTGGAGGTCGGAATCTAAAAAATAAGAAATAAAAATATCGACCACCGGAAGGCCGAAATCTCAACAATACAAGAAATAAAAATACTGACCTCCGGATGTCGGAATCTAAAAAATAAGAAATGAAATACCAACCTCCGAAGGTCGGAATCTAAAAGAAAAATGAAAATACAGACTTCCAGAGGTCGGAATCTCAAAACAAAGAAATAAAAATATCGACTTCCGGAGATTGCAATCTCAAAAATAATAAATAAAAATACCGACCTCCGGAGGTCGATATTCTAAAATTTAAGAATTAAATATTCTGATCTCCGGAAGACGGAAATAATAAAAATAGAAAATAAACAAATACATAAAAGTGACCTTCGAAAGTCGGAAAATAAAATAATGAATTTTAGCGACTTAAATTGAAACTGACCTCGAGAGCTCAGTAAATACCGACCTCCAGAGGTTGGAATTGAATACCGATCAAGCTTTTTTCGACCTAAGTTGGGAAATCGATTTGGTCGGTATTTCAGTAATACCGACCTCTGGAGGTTGGTATTTTTAGATCGGTATTCACTGTTTTTAGTAGTGTTAGGCTCATAGTGGTGATTGTCGGTTAAAGAAACTCCCACAATATTGATTATATGTTTTTTCAAAGAGTTTTTCTTAGTATGAATGGGGGTATGAGACTTCATTCATGCATTTCACAAGTAGACTTTGAGAGGGAGCATGATATGTATTTTATGATATTATTATCTTGAGTTAACATCATGTTTTTAAATAACTTTTTTATATATTACACTTGTTCTAAATTGCTTTATATCGAAATGAGTTCAGTTAAATATCAAGAGTTAAGTATTTTGAGTTGAGTACCTTAGGTTGAGTATCTTGAGCTCATATGTACTTCATTGAGTCAAGTATCATATCTTTGAAGCTGAGTATCTAATCTTTGAGTTGAATATCTAATCTTTGAGTTGAGTATCTTATTCTTGATTTGAGTTGAGTTGAAAAGAGGTAAATATGTTTCCTTTTTATTCAAGTATCAAACGTATGTTATACTTTAGAATTCCCCTTACATACTCGTACATTACACGTATTGACTCAATTGGCCTGCATCTTTTGATGATGCAGACACATGTATTCATGATCATCAACATGAGCTTCGTTGATACATCCCAGAGTTCGAGTTAGCCATAGTGAGCCTCCTTGTTTTCGGAGGACTTCATTTACCTTTCAAATTAGTTAGGAGGTCGTGGGTCTTGTCCGACTTCTATCTTTATCAGTTAGAGGCTTCATGGATTGTCAGTTTTTATTCAAAGTTATTCATTTCAGTTTTAAGATTTTGTATGTTTAAGTTAGTCTTCCTCTTATAGTTATCCATGATGAGGGTTCACTTGGGGACCAACGATGGTCTTTAAATGCCGATCACATTCACGATGTAGACTCGGATCATGACATTTATGCATATATATATATATATTGAGCCTAGTGTGCATGAATAAATAAAAATGATGTGCTTTGAATATATAATGTCGGTTATACAATTTGCCTATTGGCTAATTAGGCTTTTGTGCTTAGTTGTATAGTTTGCCTATGGGCTAGTCAGACTTTTGTTACTTAATTATACAGTGCCACAGGGGGCAGTATAGAGTTGATGAGCTTCTCAGCTACACACAAAACCTTTTTCATTTATGGGTTGTTCAGATTTCTTAAGGAGGAACGTCAAAACCTTTCGGCAATATAAAACATACAATCTAGACAGACCTACTGACATGACCGGAGTTATAGCCCACCCAACACAACAACATTTTAACCTGCTACACTATTTCTGAACAACGTTTTTAAAGTGTTACATAAAATATTTTTTGGGAACATTTTTAAAGCATAGTCCAAATTTTTGATTTTTAACTATGATAATATTGACAAAATTTATAAAATATATACTTTAATGATATAAGTTACACTTTATAAGCGTTGTTAAAATATGATATAATTGACAATACTATTTATATTTATGGCTATACTTATAACATGACCTATTTTTAAAATGGTTAAAACCGCATATTATAAATATAAGCTTAAAGTTTTCCCAAAAATATTATATTCCTTTCCACATCTTTAACTTTCCTTCCCATTTTTATTGAGCAAAAAAAGTATTTCATAGAACATTAAATTTTATTTCCCCCCTAATCAGAAGTGAAGAACGGATGGAGCTCCAGAGCTTTTCTGTCGGTCAAACTTTCTCAAAAAAGAATAAGCAAAAATCAGTGAATGTTTATCAGGTAAGTTTTTCTTTTTCCCCAAATCAGAAAAAAATTCCGTCGATTTGAAGAAGACGATTTCCTCTCCACCCAAGTCTGAGGAACACGATTTTAGTCAAACATCCTCACATATTTCACGATTTTTTGAACACGCCTCACCTCACTAAATGCTTCACTTGAGAAGATGGTGTCTTAAAAGGCTTCATCACACTGAAAGGATTTTGTTGGAATAGGGTAGCTGCTGTGGTTTAGCCAATGTTGTTGGAATAGGGTCCTTCATCACACTATTCAAGTGCCCATGGAGGGTAGCTGCTGTGGTTTAGCCAAAGTTAATAAGCAGTTGAGTATCAACTTCCAGCTGAATTTTCCTATACCAATACACCCCATGAATTGCATCTCGAAACTCCTCCTGGTTATTAGTTCGTAATCCGAGAGGAATAGAGAAAGCATAGTTAATATAAAAAATTTGGTTGCTTTACTTCTACTGTGATTTCTACTTTTTTTTTTTTTACTTTATAACTCTCACTATACTTACTGATTCGTCCTTTGTTCAATTTCTTTTGATTTCATCCCACTGACTGTGAAGTTGTTGCACTGCATTTTTTCCCCTTTCATTTGATATGTGGGCTCTGTGTGGAGTTTATTTTGTCGGCCTACACTTGATTGTCCAATTTTATTTTGTTGGCGTACACATTATTGTGCAAATTTTAGGTTTATTCTTGTTATCAGCAAACTTGACAAAGTTTTGGTTGTTTTTCTATGTAGTAGTTATGTGTATTGGATGAAGCAGATAGAGTGAAGAAAGTTGAATTCACAATTCACTCAGCCCATTTTCCCCTCCATTAGAACACACCAGCAACTTCAATACCAAAATTAGATTTCATGAATATCATTAGCGCTATTCCTATCAAATACTATCTCTTTTAGCAAATGCGATACACATCCGTCGACATTGAATTGGATGAATATCACCATCCTTATCACTATCAAATACTATCTCTTTTGTCGAATGTGATACACAACCGCGGACATTGAGTTGGTTTTACTATAAAAATGAATACCTTGTACAGTGACAATTGTTGTTCTTTACCAATTTAAAATACATGTACAGATTGAACCTGCAGGGCTAATGAGTTCTAAAGAAAAGAATGATGACTCCTTCTCAACAAAAAGGCCTGCTGAGATGAAACTTAGACGACCTGATTTGGATAGACTGGTTTCTGCAGAAAAAAGAGAAGCACAATGACTACAACTTCGAACAAACAGTCAGGAGCTAAAAAGAAATTCTATAGTTGCAATAGCAGCTTTTCATGTGCAAGATCGTCATGCTGAAAGTATACAATGCTGCTGGTCCACCTCTTAGAATCCTCATCAAATTTCTACTTTTCCACAGCAAAAGGTGACGTCTATAAACTTTTCTTGTTAACTTGGAATTTATACATTTGGTCAGGCTAGTATTATTATCAACATGGAAGTGACTAAGGAAATACATACAGTATACCTTTGACTAGACTATAGCAGAAAAGTCAACAGAGAAGGGTGTTACTACTTAAATGAAGGACTTATAAAATGTTGAATAATAGCGTATTGGAGTAGTTGATACATGTGTCCATATAGTTTGCATATATGTTCCTGCCTAGATTGGAGGTTACTTACTTTGTATTGAATATATGCTAAGGAAAGACATTGTGAGTACTTCAAACATCAACTCTTTGATTTATTTAACTGCTAATGGATGAGTTTAATGTCATGGATATTAATGTGTAAAGAAAGCCATCATCTATGGAGACCGAGACATCCAAATCCATCGAATGTAACTTCTTTTGAGTACAATCCTTCATTTTTACACTTTTGGATAAACTGTATTTTAACAAGCTTGACCGTTATTCTAAGTTTTGCAGAATCTTCACTTTTCTTGACGTATCCATATCGGATTCTCAAAAAATTGACTACTTTAGGAGAATCCGACACCCATCCATTGAAAGTTTTGAAGAGTCCGAGCAACATAGCCGTTACCTACCACTGTCTTCTCATTGATCATCTGTATTGGAAGATATAGTATGTTCAGCAACACACTTAGCTTCAAATTACAGTGTTATATGGAAGCTTAATTTATACCATGTATGAAAATATACAATTTTAGCTATTCTAAGACAACAAACCAACTCTTTGTTTTGCCCTTGAAATCATTATCATATTTCTGCAGACAAACAGTTCTGTTTCATAGGGAATCATGTTTTGCCGTACAATCTCAACCTTTTGCTATACCTCCTGTATATTGGATCCTTTTATGTCTTATCAAAAAAGAAAAAGATAATGAACTAGGAGTATGATCTGTGTTGACTGTGTTCTGTGTTTTAGTTCCCTGTCTGACCGATGTATTTCATCATTTATTGTGTAACTTTGCATTTCCAACTGAATCTGTAATAAGAACTCCTGATTAGGCCCATATTATATTTGATATATGTTTCCTTCTTTGGACTGATTAGCAAAGAGTACCCGGTTTTGTTTTAAGTTAGTTTTATTTTTACCTTTGGACTGCACGACAAAATTGTTAGAATAACAAATATTGTTGTCTTTAAGGTGTTAGCGAAATGTCTCATTGTAAATGAGGTAAGTTCCTTTTTTGCTTGAAGTAGCTTGGAAATATGTAGTAGACCTAGTACGTCAAGAGTTAAAACTCCAGACAATAGTCCCAGAAATAGTCCTAGAATTAGTCCCAGATGGACCCCACCAACTTATTATACAGAAAGTTATCAGCAATCAGATAGAACTAACGCAATATGGAATAGTAAACGACAAAATACAATATTATTACAATAATACTATTATTACATAAAGTATCTTATTTTTGCAAGTTATCTTATTCTAGTTGTACCTCAGGGATTATGTCATCACCTTGGTTACATTTAGAACATATATGGTCTGGATATTTGTGACCAATTAACTTGCAATATCTTATTTTTATTTTATCGATTTTATTTCTTGCTGTAAGAGTGAAAGAGAGATGTATTTGAAAGGGATGATTTTATTATGAGGGAGAACCCTCTATTTATACAAGAAAACTTGACATCCTTTGGCCAAATGACCGACACTCCTACTTTACACCTGACCTTTTTATATTCGGCCGACATAAGAAAACAAAAGACCTACTATTACTTCTTTACATAATGGCCTCTTCTTATATTTGTGGCCGACACAAAATCTACAGCTTCAATTCTTACGTGCAAGACAACCGAATCATATCACATCATCAAACTGAATAAGCAGCATCAGCATCAATGCGGTAAGGGCTGGACATTTACTTTTTGTGAATCACAGTTAAGACCCTCAAGCTGATTGTCGTGTTCAGAGGAATCAGTACCATGTTTGTTACAGGCATATTTGGCTTTAACTTTGTTACCAAATTGAATTCTTTTCTAAAAAAATATAAAAGTATAGGACAAAACATTTATTTTCTCATTTTCAAAGCAGGTACTGTTTTTAGTTTGAGCATACCCTCGATGAAATTACTCGTTCTTAGAAAATGCGTCAATTCCATGTTATTTTATTTTATTTCCAGGAACTGTTGTTCCTATGCTTGAAGCTGTGATGATTGTGGTTCCTCTTGAAAAGCTTGTTGTGAATTTTCATGATATCTATTGACAGTCTCTTTCAAATATTTTGGTTTCCCTCCAAGTAAGTTCTTCTATGTCTTCCAACACGTATTTCATAGGAGCTCTTACCAGGATTTCCCCAACTAGCACCAACAATATTGCTTTAGTGATGATTCTCTTAGTTACTATGATGAAATATTCTAAATTCTAGGATAATTGGTTTTCACATTGGTATTTACATGATTTACAAGTCCATAAAAATTGATTCTTCCATCATGATTCATCTTGTTCCTACTTTTCCAATGCTCTCGTAGGATTATTAACCATGACTACTCTTGAGTTTGATTTTTTTTTCTAACATTTAATTTTCTATTGAATGTGTATGAAAATGCAGGTTATCAAATTTGAATAATGGCCAAGGTCACCTCAATATATTGGAGCGAACGATAGTGTTTTTGAACTACTATTATATATGTTTGAATAAATTGTGAAATTGATTGTTAGTACAACTCTTTAAAATATTCCTTTCTAAGTATGTACTACAAGAATTGTTTTTCAAGTTTATTGTAAATCAATATAGTAAATTATTTATTAGCTAAGTTAATATTTGAAATCATTTATATTAAACAATTAGGTTATTAGTGAATCTATCCAAATCAAAATTATTATTCTTTAATTAGACATTGTGGCTATAAAAATTCTAGAGAACGTTGCCACACTTTAAAAATGTTGCTATATGACAATTGTGTGGCTTATTGATTATAAGATGTAGTATGTACATATAAGAAGGATACAATTTATAAGTATTGTTGTTGAAGAGGTATAAAAAGCTGCACTTCTAAATTGTGGCCAATAACAAAGCAAAGTCCACACTAGAAAGTGTAGTTTTATCAAATAAAAGTGTTGGCAATGAAATGCTACAATGTGTGGTCTTTGTACCTCTTCGGCCACACTTTTTGAGCGTAGCTGCTACGGTAACACTTGAAAAGTGTTGCCTAAGGTCAAAAGTTACGCCTTTTTAGGCCATTCCCAAAAAAGTGTTACCTAAAGTCAGAAAGTTTTGCCTTCTACTAAAGGCCACACTTTTTGATAGTTTAGGTCACACTTTACAAGTGTGACTGAAAGCCTAAAATGGTGTAGTGCAAGGGTGTTCAACTAGATAACTTTCATCGAAAAATTATATTATATATATGGCAAATTTATATTTAAAGTTGGACACCTTTGACGAAAGCTACAACTTTTATGTAGTGGTAATGGGTGTCCATTTAAATGAAGGAGTTCCAGGTTCAAACTCTAAATAATATAATTTTATTTTATTTTATTTTGACAGTCACACATAATTATTCTTGGCCACCCTTGATAAAATTTATGGCTTCGTCATTACCTACTGGCTAGATATTTATACATGGCCTATGAGCTAGACAATAGACAGTATACAGTTACACAAACTGTTTGCTGGGCTAGATTGTTGGAAATATGGGTATACATAGTGATTTGTACATGTCAAATTTATGTGTGTCAAAGGTAGATGTATTGATTGTTGTTTGTACATATTCAACTTCTTGTTAGGTCATTGTTTGAATATTGTGGCATGATTTATATTAGGAAAAATTAGGTGTTACGTTGTAACACTCAACTTTACCTCACAATTGAGGTATGAGTGATCGTTTGTAAAATAATACCCAACTTATGAGTCAACACTACTAGAAAATAGGTCTATTGCAACATAAGAATAATCATTGTCATAGACTTAAAAAGTGTTGTAATTGCATTATGGCAACGAAAATCGGTGTGTTGCACATAAGCCTGTTGCGATATGTCTATAGTAACGGTTTTATAGCAACAGTTGTAAACTGTTGCAACACACTATCTATAGCAACAATTATTCTTTAGTCTAGGACGACACTCTTCTATGGTTGTTGCAACAGTTGTGAACGGTTGCAAAAGACCTATAGCAACAACTTTATTATACGACTCAATCTACTCTATTACAACAGTTCTTATAAACTATTGCAACAATGTTATTAAGCTATTGCAATAGACTTTTTAAATGGTAAACTATAATATAATGATAAAAAATATTAAACCAATATGTACTTTAACTAGTCGCATCCATATATTAAAGATAAGTACACATGATCTTGATTTACAATTCAAGAGTCAACATACGTTGATGTTCACAAAAATTAAGCCTAAACATAAAAGTAATCCTAGAATGTTCAAAAATTGGCATTCATTCAAGTTCATAAAATTAGGCCAAAAAGTAGAAAGTACTGAAGCCTTTAGTTTGCTCTTGAGTTTCATGGTCAATCTCATAGCCCTGTATATCTTTTGCACTTCACTTGTATATGCTCCACCTTCAATCAGTTATGCAACTATCTTCAAATCTAAACCACCACAAACAAACAAAAAAGACCATGAAAGAAAAATATACTTGTTAAAGGGGGAATTTTTCATTCTACTTCCAAAATAGTTTAAAATGCAAAAGTTTGACTACCAAATTCAACTCAACCAAAAATTAGGATAGAAATATCGATAGTCATGTCTGATAGAAATTGCCTCTTCGGAGGAGAAGGTGTCTGTGTCTGAGCTGCTTCCTCGTAGCTCGCTGATTGGAGAATGGAAAAGAGAAGACCAGATGCTGGCCATCTCCGTGCTGCTATTGGTCATCGCCGGAGCTGTTGGAAAAGAGAAAGAATGGAGTGAGGCACTAGGGATATCGCCGGCTGCTGGTGTTGTGGTTCTCTCGTCTTTGCCGGAAGAGAGAAAGAGATGACGGTGCCTTGAGCTCGCTGGCTGGAGCTTTTTGATTCCATCGATGGAGCCTGCTCGCTGGAGCTTCTGGCTATTGTTTCTCGCTGGGGGAGAAAAGGGAAGCAGCGATGAGGAGGGGATGAGAAGAGATAGCGGGCGCCGCTGTTATGGTGAAGGGTGGGGAGTGCAATTCTTTTTAGGGTTTTGCTCTTGGTAGATTAAAATAGGTAAACACCAATTTTTTTGATCTATATTGTTGATTTTTAAATAGATGTAAGGCTGAGATTGAATACTAGAGATCAACGGTTTGGATTAAAAATGAGGCTCTTTTATTTTAATTTTACAATTAATTAAAACAAAACTCTTTTGGCAGGTGTAGTGAAATAAGTGGAGAGAAATAATAGAGGGAAAATAATTGACGGAACTGTTGCCATAGAGTACTTAAGGCGACAATTTGTACGAGCCGTTGCAATATAAAAATACTATGGCAACGGTTGCAGTACTAATGCAACGATTTAATCCTCAAAGTGTTTCATTAGGTCCAATTTTCTATTGCAAAGGTTATAACCATTGCGAATGAGTATCTATTGCAACACATATTTAATTGTTGCTAAATAATTGTTGCTACAAGCATGTTTTCTAGTAATGATGTCGAACCACAAAGACAGGCAGAGATGATTCCATTTAAATTAATTGTTAATTTAATACTAATGAGTAAAATGTCTTCTAACGAGAATATTTGATGGGGGAATTAGGGAATCACAATCTTCGATTTAAATTTCAAGTAACACAATCAAGAAGTCAACTCAACAAAGATTTCAACAAGTTGGAAACAATTAGGGGTGTGTTCATTAGCAATGGAGTTTCAATCTAATATGTAATGATTTAAAATATCAAGACAACAATATATCCATTTAATAAAACTAATTTTAGAACTATTTAATTATGACCAACTAAGAGTTACACTGATATCTTGCACACACACCAATAGCTAAAAATTTAACTATTCATAAATAAAGAAAGAGAGATTATACCAATAATAGAAATCTTCCTTTCATGCATAATCAATAAATTTGGTTGAGTCCAAGCTTGAAATGTAATTTTAGTTATTCTTAAGGAAGTAAAAATTCTACAATGTCTATTCTCTATTCTACTTTGCGATCTCTGTTTCAAATTATTCCTGATTGGGAAGAAGATGAGAGTACTTAATTACCCATCTCCCTATTTTGTCCTTGAAACCGTCCAAATGGAGTATCTTCAGTATCAAGAACATTTTTCTCTTGAACTTTTACTTCTCGATTCCGTTGCAATGGTGCTTTGCCGATAGAAGCTTTATCGCAGGTTGTGGCACTACTTCAAAGCGCTCAGATGCAGTGATGCCTTTGGTTGGATTGGCAAAACATCGATCCACTTCTAGACGGTTGATTGAAGTTCATGATATCTTGACAATGGAGCAAATAATCATTGTAAGTCCACAAACACAAGTTTGTGGCGATAAAGAAGATGGTGAATGTAATGTGTCTTTTGGATATGTCAAAGATCTAAATTGAAGCGCAGGTACAATTTTGATATCCTTTAAAGATGGTGGGCATAAATTTATTAACAATATTTATTATGTGTCAAAAATTGAGAAATAATGTTTTGAGTTCAGGTCAACTTCTTGAAAAAGGATATGATATTCATATGAAAAATATGCATCTTTGTTTAGAGTTTCAAGTAACAATTTAATTGTTAAAGTGCATATGAAAAAAATAGATTATTCATTCTAAATCTTAAGATCATCAATGCAAAGTGTTTGAAGGCTAATGTGAAAGATGACTCATGGTGTTTGCATACGCAATTTGGACACTTGAACTTTGAAGCACTAAAACCAATGGTAGACAAAAACATGGTTGATGAGATTCCATCAACCAACCATCCAAATAAGTTGTTGTCTTCTTTGAAAACATGCATGAAGGAGTTTTCCAAAGGAGACTACATCACGAACTAGTAAGCCACTGCAATTTGTACACGGTGATGTGTGTGGTCCAATCGATTTACCTTCTTCTGATAAAAGTAAATACTTCTTGCTCTTTATTGATGGTTTCAGTCGAAAGACTTGAGTATACTTCTTGAAGCAAAAATCTGAAATTTTTGTTCTTTTAATAATTTCAAAGCCCTTGTAGAAAAAAGAAAGCATCTATGAAATAAAATCATTAAGGTCTGA